AACCAAAAACTTGCTTTTAACACTTCCTGTCCATTTTGTTCAACTGCTACCGAGACTTTTTCTGATAGTATACGGTACAACGAAAGTAGGTCAATGTACAAACGACTCAGTTGGGTTATGAATGGATTTCCTGCTGCTTTGCAACATGCAACATTGGTCTTCAGTATGTTCAACAAGTTGCGCGTCACCTAAAGTATATGGTGATCAGGGAAAATTAATAAAGGAATTTGGAACGCTCAATTATTGTAACAACTTTCAGGAAAGCAAAAACGACAATATATACAAAACTGTACCTCCGGCTCTTCCAAAACAGCCATATTTTCACCTGCGTTAGCAATAATCTCATCCCAAACAGAGTTTGGCAGAGCCATGAGTTTTTCGATAAGGTCAGCCTGCTGATCAGGCTCATCGCTAGCCGACGAAATGATGTGACCTACAGCTTCATAAAAGACGTGAACCTGAAGTAACAGGAAAAAATGAAGGGTGCAAACAAATGGGACTTGTTGACGGGAAGAATGAGAAATAAGCAAAAGTGGAGAGGATAATCTTCTCAACTTACCTGAGATGGCGCGAGGTCGCAGATGATTCCACTAAGATTTTTCAACATTTCATCGATGAATGGAGTTTGCTCACCAACTTGCATCTGGAAAGACGTAAACAATCGAAATGCTAAATAAAAATGTTGATAAAAACTCACAATAACAAAATGCCGTTTACATTTCATCGCAATCTTTATGAACGTATCACAAGCCATATCTTGAACACCTTCATGAGTTTCATGCATGAACTCGAACAGCTTGTTGATGACCTAAATTGAAATCCTTAAAGAAATTTAACATGAGAATAACATAGACAGTTCTATAAGCGACAAGGGAAGATTCTGCTTGGAGAGAAATAGGACGTTTTCAGCACTAGAAAAGTACAATTGCCAAAAATGTTATCTTCTCAATATAGCAATTTTTGCAAGTCACACTATACACCATTTCTTCAACAGTATAAATCAAAAATTCCGACTAAAGTTTGTAATAACAACAGCTACGAAAACTATGGAAACCAACAACTGTGAAAAACCTATGCTATTCCCTCCTCAGCACTTGAAATAAACAGAATAAAACCAGGAAAAGCTTTAAAACCAACCGTTTTCAAGAACTTCCAATGAGCTCTAAGGAACCGCGGATATTGCCCAACAACGTACATAATATTTGATGCAATGACAGCCTTGTTGTCCTTACCTCGTTTCTGTTCACAAAGTCCAAGCAGATCTAAACATATTTGCTTTAAGGCAAATTCTAAACAAAAATTTTCATATTATTATTATGTCAATTTCAA